AAAAAAAGCCCAAGATCTCTCATTGCAAGCATTCACGAGTAAAATATGGCATACATTGCTGATGGAAAAAATGACTAATAAAGTTAGATTACATAGAGGAGAAATAAGCCATAGTAAATTCACTGAAAATTGGAAGGCATTATTAAAATATGCCGATAAAATAGATTTTGAGACATGTGGTTTGAAAAAATTTTTAGATTGTTGGTCGATATTTCTTTAAAAGGTGACGGGGAATGGTATAAATGTGATTTGGAGAATTGCGGGGAATAGCTTTGTATTTATTATTTGTAATATGGTGGATTGTCTTTTCATTCTTTAGAAATATAAATAAATAAATAATTTTTTAAAAAGACAATAATGCTGGGGAAATTTGAGGGCTGCAGGAAAGAGATTGATAAAATACTGTATTAGGTGCATTTATTTTCTAAAGTAAGCCACAGTCCTGAGTTTGCAAAATCTGAGCAGATTTGTTTACCATAGGATTTTTTGAAAGTCACTGATTTATAGAAGTGATTTGACAACACACAATGATCAGAGGAATGTTACTGTTGAACCACAGTTTTTAGAATTCCTTATTCACTAGCCATGTTGGCTAGGAATTTCAGTCCAAAGAAGTAATTTGTCCAAGCTCTGCAGGTCTCATGATTCCGGCCTGACCCATCTACTTCACAGCATTAAAAGAATGCCACAACACTTTAAAATGGATAGAAATAGCCACCTGTTTCGTACAGTGATCACGGCACTTCGAACTTGAAATTTCCAGAAGTTACCAGGATCACAAGTAAGCATGCTGAGTCCTGGAACACATGCTAAAAACATGTTGTTTAGCCTCCTTCAGGCTCAACAACTTTATGATGTAACCAAAAAGCCTGGCTTCCAATCATAAATTCCTCTGAAAAATCATTTGGCAGTGACGTCGTTTTCAAAAGAACCAGATTAAGAATCACAACAGGAGTTTGTTCTAACTCCAAGGGTAATAATTTCACATGGCTTATGTAGGAATAATGCATTTTACTTAACTCAGCTATATGAGTACAAAGTGCTGTTCTATGATTTTAAAAACACCCTACTGCCCGATATCTGACAAGTATAAAGGGGGTTTAAAATATACCCTGTACAGCATGGAAACCTGAGCATAATGAAAGATCTTGTTCCTAACAGGGAGTTTATTTTCAAATAAAGCTGCCTCAGGTTAGAGTATGGGTACAGCTTTTGAACAGAGTGGCAGGGAGACAGAAGAGAAGTCTCAAATGTCTGCAGCACATTCTTCATTTCTTTAATTTTCTTTTTTTTTTCTTTTTCTCTCTGATCCTTGGTGTCCAGATTGATGTTGGGCAGTTTTTCATGTATTTGAAATCCCCGTGCAGCAAGAATGCTGGAATGCTCATTTATATGTGTTATAAACAAGCACTCCAGCAGTCTTGGTTTTTCAGAATAGAATATTTCCAGCTTCTGTCCTGTCATATTGCTGACTGGTACAAAAGGCTTCTTGCTTAGTAGGCAGACTTAATGCATCAGGCTGGAAAGCAACAAGCTTCTGTTTTAACCATTGTTATCCTAACGTATACTGACTTGATAGCTCAGTGAGTTAGGTTTCTGGCTATGGAGTCAAAGCTTGGAAGTTAAAGTCCCTGCTGTGCATCGCAGAAGAGTCAGCCTATGTGGCCTTGGGCAAGCTGCACAGACCCAGGATGTCCCCAGAAGAAGAGAATGGTAAACCATTTCTAAGTACTCTTTACATAGAAAGCCCAGAAAACGGTCACCATAAGTCAGAACTGAC